TAAGAGCAAGACAATGACCAAGAGTCTTACCCGGTAAGTGAGGGCAACGACTCTTACCACGGTAAGTGCTAATTGGGTAAATTGTTGCATACGATGTCGTTTTGATGGACTAAAAACTTACCCGGTAAGTAAATGATAGTGTTAATTTTTGCCAGTAAGCACTTACCGGGTAAGTGTTTGGTAAACGACCCCTAACTCACTCACTTAGTTAAACATAGCACCATAAAAACCATGGTTAAAAGCATAAGTTTCTATCGGAATTTTTTTTGAACAAGAAATATTTTATTACCAAGAAAACCAAGAGAACAATGAGAGTGAAGTGACCGTGTTTTTTTGTAAGACATAAAACCCTGACCAACAACACACCAAAAACAAGAACAACAAAAACAAACAACCTAGAAACCAGTCAAAACCCCGAAAAAACCATCAAACAACAAAGAAAAAAAAAGCAAAATCACGACGTAGGAGAAAAACATTACAAAGATGGCCGTAAGTACAAGAAGTAAAACTCAAGCGCTTCTCGAAACAACATGCTAGAAACGAAACCGAACCATAGCAAGCTAAAATAATCCAACTACGCCACCATCATTTCCAACACAAACAAAACATAAACACAACCTTAAACAACAGATTCGAAAAATACCAAAATCCAGTACAAGGACATCGAAATCTTAAAAGGCTCCACCACACCAACCAACCCATGATCACCCACATTTTTTTTAACTAATCAAAGACTGAGAAATACAAAAGTAACCGCACTTCACACCAGAAGCTGAAAAACCCTTTTCGCTTGTAAACATAATATAATATGTAAATTTTTTGAGTACATAAATTAGAGAATTCAGGGGGTGTTTGAGATTGCTTATTTGAAATAACTTATGCTTTTCTATAAAATCACTTATCAACTTATTATAAGTCAGAAGACTCTAACTTATTGTTTGACACCGGTATAAGTTGTTTATCCAAACACTCAAAAGTGTTTATTACCGGTGCCACACCGGAATAAGTCAATAAACTATTTTTATAAGCAATCCCAAACACCCCTTAATCAAAATAAAAAATGCAATATATATATATATATATATATATATATATATATAGCCTAATCAAATGAGAACTAATTAGTTTGTGATAACCGTGAGGTCCAATCTTAACCACAAATCAATAGATAAATTAGGAAATTTATAATTTTGTTAATTTTGAATTAAAATTTTAATACAAGGACATTTTAGGTATTTTAAAACTCTCCTCTCCTCTCTTCTCTCTCTCTATGTCCTCTGGCCACCGTTCTCCGGTGATACCACAATGGTATCACAATGTATCTTATATGTGTTTGGGTATCACACTGAGGTCATTTGTGTGGTCGATCGGAGATGTAACACAGTGGTATTACAATGCATCTTATATGTGCTTGGGTAGCACACTGTGTTTTTTGTTTAAAAGAATCAATATTTTTAGGTATCACAATGGTATCACCGGAGGACGGTGGCCGGAGGACGAGAGATGGAGAGAGAAGAGAGGAGAGAGGAGAAAAAAAATATCTAAAATGTCCTTGCATTAAAATTTTAATTCAAAATTATCAAAATTATAAATTTTCTAATTTATCTATTGATTTGTGGTTAAGATTGAATCTCACGGTTACCATAAATTAGTCAGTTCTCCCTTAAATAAGCTTATATATATACACTAGAAGCGTACTCGCGCAATGCAGCGAGATACATCGTGTTTTTAATATTTCATTTTATTTTTTATCTCAGTCGATGTTATAATATGGCTTTATGTGATTTTGAGAAAACGATGATGTTTTTATTTTTGAATCAAATATATTTTTGACGATATCATAAAAATTTGACAAAAAATATATCGATATTAGTATCAAATTAACTATTTGAAATTCCTCATTTTTTTGTGCAATTTTTTAATCCAATTTTTTTATAATTTAATTTATGTATAATAACGAAGTAATTTTGTGTGTCCACAATCACTGATCAATCTTCATATTAAGCTCACATCAATGGCAGATTCATGGATAAACATTCAAGAACACTTTATGAATATTGAGAGAGAAAGTCAATCCTCTCAATTCAGTCAAACCTCTCAATTATGAATCTGAATATTACAATTAGGCTCCTCTTTCCACTAATTACAAAGATTACCACCCTATTTATATGGTCAACATATTAATACAAAGTCAAAGTCAAACTAGTCTAAGAAAGTCAAACACGCTGACTTTACAATTAGAGACTAAAATTAATCTTTCAAGGCGAATACAATTAATACTGATTTTTCAGTCCTAACATTCTCCCCCTTTGTATTCAGACTTGAAAGAAAATTCTGCACGTTGAGTCCTGTTTGAACTTTGAAACAATATGCACAAAATGTCATCTTCAAATGAAATCTTCAGCTTGTAATCTTCAAACGATCTACTGTTGAGAAAGATCTTCTAGCACTCCCACTCGAATGTAGAATCACGGTGATCTTCTCTTTTGACAATGTATAACAAATATGATCTTCAGAAATACTATACAAGATTTGATCTTCAAAGAATCTTCAKAAAACACTTCTTCAGTAAACTATTGTGAAAATGATCTTCACATTCAATATCCCTCAGTCGTTGAAGCACACAAATAATCATTCTTTAAACATCTTCAGTCGCACTTCTTCTTTTGAGTCTTTTGCCACTTCTGAAAGTTACTCCCCCTTGATATTTGCATCAAATCCCCTTTAACAATGTTCGGAAATGAATATTTCATTCATATTACATATACTCCCCCTTATGATGAAATGAGGATCATTCCATCATACAAAAGATGAATGAAATTTTCCG